AAAAAAAAAAAAAAAAAAAAAAAAGAATCCAAGGATTTCGGTTTTAGCACTGAGTCTGAGACATCCAAACAAAGGGCTTGGGGCCAGGAGGAAAGTGTTTGCCCACAATTCAGATAATGAGAGGGAGAGACAGAGACAGAGAGAGGGGAAGAGGGAGTTAAACTGTAAAAGAAGAGGTAGAAAAACACCTTGATGAACTTGAGAAACTGGAACAATAGTTGGGGTGTTGCTGGGGATTCCCAGAAAAAAACAACAACCAACCATCAAACAAAGAAACAATGGAGAGAGTCTGGAAACAGTGGTCTGTGGCCTGGATCCTTTACCCCAATGATGGTGGCAGTCCACAGTGAGACCTTACCCCCAGTCAACAGAAAATTAAAGCAGATAAAACTATCTTTGGGACTTCCCTGGTGGCACAGTGGTTAAGAATCCACCTGCCAATGCAGGGGACGTGGGTTCGAGCCCTGGTCCGAGAAGATCCCACATGCCACGGAGCAACTAAGCCTGTGCACCACAACTACTGAGCCTGTGCTCTACAGCCTGCGAGCCAGCTACTGGAGCCCATGTGCCACAACTACTGAAGCCCATGTGCCTAGAGGCCGTGCTCTGCAACAAGAGAAGCCACCGCAATGAGAAGCCTGCACACCACAACGAAAAGTAGCCCCTGCTCGCTACAACTAGAGAAAGCCCGCGCGCAGCAATGAAGACTCAATGCAGCCAAAAATAAATAAATAAATTTCTAAAATACTTAAAAAAAAAACAAAAAAAAAACCAAAGGGCAAGGCTGGGGAATCTGACAAAGCCACAGGGCCTGTTTGAAGACTGTGGCTGAGAGGAAAGGAAAGATGTTTTCTCTCTGTACCTTCATTGGGTTCAGCTCACTCTATAAAAAAGGTCAAGGTTTGAAGTTAGAGTAGGTTTTATAGAAAACTATTTCTCTCTGTCTCTCTCCCCTCCTGTCTTTTCCTTTCTCTCTCCCTCTCCCTCTCTCTCTTTTTCTCTCTCTCTAATTATCTAAAGTCATACTTTATTCAGATTTTCTTAGTTTTTGCTTAACGTCCTTTTGCCCTTTCTTGTTCCAGGATCCCATCAAGGAGTACACCACATTACATCGAGTCACCATATCCCTTTAGGTTCCCCTTGGTTGAGACATTTCTCAGACTCTTTTTTCAGGAGAACTGGTCAGGTATTTTGTAGAATGTCCCACTATTGTGATTTGCCTGATGTTTTTCTCATGGTAAGACTGGGGTTATGGGTTATTGGTAGGAAGACCACAGGAGTAAAGTGCCATTTTCAGCGTATTATATCAAGGGTACCTACTATCAACTTGACAGGAAGGTTGATGTTGGTGTTGGTCAGCTGGCTGCAGTAGTGTGTTTCAGGTTTCTCCATGGGAACATTACTCCTTTCCCCTTTCTGTACTGTGCTCTTTGCAAGGGAGTCATGTGCACAGCCCACACCAACAAATGGAGAGTTCTGCTCCCCTCCTTGAGGACAGTCTCTGTGTAAATTATTTGGACTTCTGCATAAGAGATGATTTCTCTTTTTATTTTAAATATTTTCTTAAAACTTTTTATTAAATTACAAGATACATACAGAAAAGTGCAGATAATCTGTACAGCTCAATGAATTTTTTACAGACTTAACAAAAGTCTTGTAACCAGTCCTCAGATCAAAAGACAGAACGTTACCAGCACCCTAGAAACCCCTCGTGCTCTCTCCCTAAGGATAACAATCACCCCAACTTCTAATAGCATAAATTACTTTTGTTAGTTTTTGTTTTTCATGTAAATTAAATCATGCTGTGTACTTTTTTGGGCATGGAACTTTAAAAATTTAATAGATTTCATTTTTATAGCAGTTTTAGGTTTACAGAAAAATGGAATGAAAGTACAGAGAGCTCCCATATGCCTCCTCCCCCAATCAGTTTCCCCTGTTATTAACATCTTGCATTAGTGTGATACATTTATTACAATTGGTGAATGAATATTAATACAATATTATCAACTAAAGTCCATAGTTTACATTAAGATGAAGTCTTTGTGTTATGCAGTCCTATGAATTTTCTTTCACTTTTAAAAATTGTGACACCATTGTAAAGCAGTTATACCCCAATAAAGATGTTAAAAAAAATTGTGGTAAAATATAAAACATAAAACTTACTGTTTCAAACCTTTTTTTTTTTTTTTTTTTTTTTTTTTTTTTTTTTTTTGCGGTACGCGGGCCTCTCACTGTTGTGGCCTCTCGCGTTGCGGAGCACAGGCTCCGGACGCACAGGCTCAGCGGCCATGGCTCACGGGCCCAGCCGCTCCGCGGCATGTAGGATCCTCCCGGACCAGGGCACGAACCCGTGTCCCCTGCATCGGCAGGTGAACTCTCAACCACTGTGCCACCAGGCACAGTGCCCCACTGGATTGTTTTTAATCTTTTGATTTCAGCCATCCTGGAATGTCTGTTGACTACTTCCCTTTTTAAAACCCCTCAATGTTCCCCATAGATTTCAAGGTAAAAACTGAACTCCTTTGCTTGGCACCCAAAGGCTTCCGCGGCAGCTCTTGCTTAACCTCTCTGGCCTTGTTTGCCACCACGTCCCACTTGCCCCGCCTCCATTGTCTTTCTCCATATATTGATCCCTTTACTGGAAACCTGCACCCCATCCTGTGCTCCCTGGCCAACTCCTGCTCATCATTTTATACGCTGCTC